ATAATATAAAAAATATTTAAAATATTATTAAATACCTTTTATATATAGTTTTAAAAGGTAATAGAAGTATTTAATAAACCTATAGGTATAATTAGAAATTTATAATAGTTATAATAAGTATAAAAGGCTGTTTTTTATTTATTTCCCTTTTAAATATAAATATAATAATAGGCGTCCTTTAGGTTAACTTTTATAAATATCTTTATTTAAAAGATTTTATTTAATAGCTTTAAAATAAAGGGTAAAATGTAGCAATTTTTATATAAAATATAGTTAAGTTCCCTATAATCTATATATAAGCGTAAGTTTTTATTTTTTTTAAAAATAAAAAGGATAGGTACTTTAATTAGATTAATTAATTTTTTAATTTTTTTAACCTTTAGCATTTTATTTAACTATTTTTATAGCTTTTTAAATTTATCCTATATTAAAGGGTATATAGGATAATAGGAAATTATAGTATTTTTTTTAAGTTTAATAATTAAATTTCCTTTTTTTAAGTAAGGAAGTATACTAGCTTTATTTATATTAAAGAAATTAATAAAGTTATAAAACTTTTATAAAATATTATTAAATCCTATATAAGATATATATAATTTTAATTCTTTTAGTTAAATTAATTCTAATAATTGGATAATTGTTTAATAATATAGTTTATTTTTATAAACTTTTATAAACTAATATAGGGTAAGTATTTTAAAATAGTAAGCTTTAAATTTAAAGAATTAATAATTTATACCTAAATTTAATATAATTCCTTAATCCTTTAAAGTAATTTAGAATAATAAAATAAAACTGCTTTTTAAATAATAATTATAGTTAATTATTATATATATACGTTTAAACTTATAAATAATACTACAATTATTAATTAATTTATAGGTGACTTAATAGGCCCTATATAATGGAAAACTATTACTTATAGTATATTATAATGAAGGAGTTTAAAAAGGAGCCTTTTTTAACTTATAATAGAATATAAAAGTAAGGTTAATGTAATTACATTTAGTATAAAAATCTAGGTTAATATAAGTTTATAAAGGTGGTTTTTTTAAGCTAGGTATATAGATTATATAAGGGGTATAAAAATAACGTATAATAGGTATATAAGGGGGTAGATTTAGCCTAATGCCTTTTATTAGCTTGAAAGGTATTAAGCTTCCGGTCCATTTTTTAACTATTTATTATAATTTAAAGGATTATAGTATTTTAATAAAAGGGGGATATAAAAATAATATAGTAATTATTATTTATTTTTAGCTTTATCCTGCTTTTTATTTATTTGAACTTTTTAAATAGTTTACTTTTATGCTATATAGCCTATATAGCTAAAGTTCCGGTTTTATTTAAGTTAAATGTAATTTAAAGCAATGTAGCTTGGTTAACTATAATTAAAATAAACTACTTCTTTATAGTTTTTTTAATTTAGTCCATTTTTATTATTACTTTATAAATAATTTAAAGGAGTTTTAAAAAGGGGTTAACTTTTTAAAATAAAGTTATTAAATTAATAGTTTTTTTAATAATTAAAACTTTAAGGATATTAATAATAACTATTACTATTATTTCCTTAATAATTATAACTATTATTATTACTTTAATAATTATTACTATTACTATTACCTTTATAACTATTAATATAGTTATAGTTAAAATTACTATTATAATTATTACTATTATATCCTTTATATTTATTTTTATAATTGTTATTAATAATTTAGCTATTACTTTAGCTTTAGCTTATATTTATAGGTAGTTTACTATTAGTTTGGGTATTTTTTAATTTAGGCCTCTTTTTTCTATAGTTAGCCTATTAATCCTTACTTATTAGTTCTTAATATTATTATGCTATATTAACTATTTTAATCTTAATCTTTAGTAAAGGGTTATAGAAATTTATTAATTCCTTTTATAGGGGTCCACCTAGTTTTCGGTAATATAATAGAGCTTTTTTACCTTTACTTTATTTTAAGTTTTAGCTTTTAATATTAGCTAGGTATTAATTAAAAAGTCTTAAGTTTTAATTAATATATTATATAGCCCTTTTAAATTATATATTAATATTAACCTATAGAAAGGATAATTAATATAATAAAGTTTTAGTTTAATTTAAAAATATATCTTAATTAAATTTTATTTATTTCCTTTTTATATATTTAAGCCTTTTCTTTATAATTTAGTATATATTTTTATAATCCCTATTTATTTTATTATATATATAAAGAATTTTAGGGGTATTAGTTTTAAATTTATAATTAGCTATATAGAATATAGTTTTTAATTTTTTTACCTATTTTAATTATTTTAAATAGGTAAATTCTATATTAAGGGGGTTATAATTAAACTTAAAACGCTAGCTTAAATTAGCTTCCTTAAAGGAATAGCATTAATAATAGTATATATAATTTAAATATAATTAATATATATAACTACTTTAACTATGCTTTATATTAAAGTTGGATAATAAGGGGTTATTATTATTAGGATTACCCTTTTTTCAATTCTAATAGTATTATTAATTATTAAGGATCTATAAATTATTAAGGTTAAAATAATACCCTAATTTATTTAAACTTAATATTTTTAAGTTTTTTCCTTTTTTACTTAAATATAATTTAAAAGGGGTATAGGTTGCCTTTAAATTTTAAATAACCTTTTTTCCTTTAAGAAGTTATTTCTTTAGCTTTACAATTTTAATTAAAAGTTAGGCATTTATTTATTATAATAATTAAGCATTAGCTTTATTTATTAGATTAGGGTTATTGGGAAATTTTAATAGTTAATTTTAAGTTTATTATTCTTTTAAAAATAAATTATATTAGCTTTATCCTTAAGTTATCGTTAAAAACTCTCCTTAATTTAAATTTTCTAAAAGAGCGTTAGCTTTAATTATTTATTTATATATAGGTATATTATAATTAATAACGTTATAAATAACTTTAAGGGGAAGCTTTAAAATTATTATAGGTAGGTTAACTTTTAAAGGTTAGGTATAATGTTATAAGTCTTTTTAATTTTATAATAAATATTTAATAAAATTAAAGCTTAAAAAAGGGAAAAATTTCCTTTAAAGCATATATAGGAAAGGTATAAAATATATATAAAATATATATATTTTAAGGGCTTTAAAATATTATAATATAATAAATTAATATAAGTTTATAAAGGTAATTTCTTTAAGCTAAATGTATAAATTATATAAAGGGTATAAAAATAATATATAATAGGTATATAAAAAGGTAAATTTAACTTAATGCCTTTTATTAGCTTAAAAGGTATTAAACTTTTAATTTATTTTTTAATTATTTATTATAATCTGAAGGATTATAGTATTTTAATAAAAGGGGGGTATAAAAATAATATAATAACTATTATTTATTTTTAACTTTATCCTGTTTTTTATTTATTTAAACTTTTTAAATGGTTTATTTTTATATTATATAGCTTATATAATTAAGGTTTTAATTTTATTTAAGTTAAATATAATTTAGGGTAATATAGTTTAATTAACTATAATTAAAATAAACTACTCCTTTATAGTTTCTTTAATTTAGTTTATTTTTATTATTACTTTATAAATAATTTAAAGGAGTTTTAAAGGGAGGTTAACTTTTTAAAATAAAGTTATTAAATTAATAGTTTTTTTAATAATTAAAACTTTAAAAACATTAATAATAACTATTACTATTATTTCCTTAATAGCTATAATTATTATTATTACTTTAATAATTATTACTATTATTATTACCTTTATAACTATTAATATAATTATAGTTAAAGCTATTATTATAACTATTATTATTATATCCTTTATATTTATTTTTATAATTATTATTAATAGCTTAACTATTACTTTAACTTTAATTTATATTTATAAGTAATTTATTATTAATTTAAGTATTCTTTAATTTAAACCTCTTTCTTTTATAATTAACCTATTAGTTTTTATTTATTAATTTTTAACGTTATTATATTATATTAACTATTTTAATTTTAATCTTTAATAAGGGGTTATAAAAATTTATTAATTCCTTTTATAAAGGTTTATTTAATTTTTAATAATATAATAGGGCTTTTTTACCCTTACTTTATTTTAGGTTTTAATTCTTAATATTAATTAAGTATTAGTTAAAAAGTCTTAAGTTTTAATTAATATATTATATAGCCCTTTTAAATTATATATTAATATTAACTTATAAAAAAATAATTAATATAGTAAGGTTTTAATTTAATTTAAAAATATATTTTAATTAAACTTTATTTATTTCCTTTTTATATATTTAAACTTTCTTTTTATAATTTAATATATATTTTTATAATCCTTATTTATTTTATTATATATATAAAGAATTTTAAGGGTATTAGTTTTAAATTTATAATTAGCTTTATAAAATATAGTTTTTAATTTCTTTATTTATTTTAACTATTTTAAATAGATAAATTTTATATTAAAGGGGTTATAGTTAAACTTAAAAAGCTAGCTTAAATTAACTTCCTTAAAAAAGTAATATTTATAATAATATATATAATTTAAATATAATTAATATATATAATTACTTTAATTATACTTTATATTAAAGCTAAATAATAAAGGGTTATTATTATTAAAATTACCTTTTTTTTAATCTTAATAGTATTATTAATTATTAAAGGTTTATAAATTATTAAGGTTAAAGCAATGCTTTAATTTATTTAAATTTAATATTTTTAAATTTTTTCCTTTTTTATTTAAATATAATTTAAAAAGGATATAGGTTACCTTTAAACTTTAAATAACCTTCTTTTCTTTAAAAAGTTACTTTTTTAATTTTACAATTTTAATTAAAAGTTAAACGTTTATTTATTATAATAATTAAACATTAGTTTTATTTATTAAATTAAGGTTATTGAAAAATTTTAATAGTTAATTTTAGGTTTATCGTTTTTTTAGAAATAAATTATATTAACTTCATCTTTAAACCATTATCGAAAACTCTTCTTAATTTAAATTTCTTAAAAGAATGCTAGCTTTAATTATCTATTTATATATAGGTATATTATAACTAATAATATTATAAATAACTTTAAGGAAAAGCTTTAAAATTATTATAGGTAGGTTAAATTTTAAAAGTTAAATATAATGTTATAAATCTCTTCAATTTTATAATAGGTATTTAATAAAATTAAAGCTTAAAGAAGGGAAGAATTTCCTTTAAAGCATATATAAGAAGGGTATAGGATATATATAAAATATATATACTTTAAAAGCCTTAAAATACCGTAATATAATATAATTAATAATAGTATATAGCTTAATCTAGCTTGGCTAACCGTTTAATATATTAATTAGTGTTTTAAATAAGGTAAAAGAGATTAAAAGCTTCGATTTATTTCTTTTTAGGTTAGAATTCCGTTAAAATAGCATTATAAAGTGGTCCTAAAAATATCCCACTTTCGTACTGCCGTTTTAACACTTAAACTAAGCTTAACGTTATAAATAGCGCCCTAATAACGCTTTTCTTTAGAAATTGAAGGTATTGTAAGATTTAATATAAAAAGGTAATTCGATTAAATATAAAAAGAAGGTCAGAAGGTAAAAACTAACTACGTTGGGTATAGGGATTTATATACGCGAATTCGCATAAAAAGCGCATAGCGGGGTGGCCCATGACGTGGTGGCCCGGGACCCTTGCGATTTGCTTACAACACGCTCCCGAGCCTGTCAGAGGCTAACGAAAGGTTCGGAAACCGGGACGAGATCTTTGACAGACTATTGGATCTTCTCTCTCGACACCAGGGCCTCTTTGACGTTTGTCTTATCCATGCTCACTGCACACTTGCTGACGGAGAGGTGATGCTAGAGAATGGCGACGTCTCAATGCCAGTCAAGATTTCAGGAACGGAAAACTGTTACCCCGTAAGCTGGTTACCATCAGGTGAACCGTATGAATACACAACCAAGCCGACGAAGATACCGCCACCGTCGCTCTTTGACGAGTCCAGAGCATTGACTCGAGATGTCGAGGTTCTAGGATTGCACTATAACAACTGTCCGGGGATGACGGAAACACGTATAGAATGGACAGAAGGCAGAAAGAATTGCACGCGCAGGCTTACGGAGGAAGATCGAGACATTTCGGCGGTGGAGACACAATGGAGCTTGACTCAAGAGTTTAAAAAGAAGCCTAAAGTTCGATGCATACTCTATTGTAACACAACTACCACAAGAAGTGGGGCAATACACCTCGGTACGTTTCTAAAAGAGCACCTTAAGTTTGTTGATGGCAATCTTATATTTAACTAACATATGGCCACTGGTTATAGGCACACAGTCTCATCACAAAGTCTCCAGCTAAATATGTAAGTCTTCTAATTCAGTAAGCTGCCAGTCTGACGTGACTATCAATAGATCATCTGCCTTTGGAAGGTAACGATACATATCGCTTGTCACGGAGTGGCATCTTCTTAAACTTACTTGACTTAGTTGTTGCAAATGTTTTCTAAATAACAGATGAAGATCTTGATGTTCTATTTAAAAATTGTCCTCTTGTATACAAATTAAGGTTCACTTCTCATACTAGCCCATGTTATAAGAGATCAATGCAAGCCAATTCTGTCCAGTTAAATGCAGGAACTTTGCCACGGAAATTCCCAATGCCAACCCTTTTATATAATGGCTGCTGGATATGAGAAACTAGTTCTAGTATAAGGAACGTTTCGTGAATAAACTGAGAATCTAGATGCGTTCTCGACCGCAAAAGGAGACACTTGTAGCGGTATGGTGGATTAATATCGGCGCTGTCGAACTGTGCTGCACATCTTAACGGGAGAGGCTTGCCGTCTTCTGCGGCGCTTTCTTCCATGACAAGAAAGAATGGTGGGTTAGCTTCACCAGTATCAGTTGCCACCTTGAGTAACACGTCCCGTGTAGGCCCTCAGAGAACAAGTCGAGTTCTTTGTATACTAGATGTGAATGGTGTACCACGCCAAGAAACTTCCCAGTCGATTAAACTTGTATGATCTCGGATGGCTTCGCGAACAGACTTGGACCTAATAGTAAGCTTCCAGAGGTCAAAAGTAATCTCCGCTGGACAAGACAGCCATGACCAAGATGGTATGTTCAGGTTCTTGACACTCTGCCCCATATCATGACAAGTTCCTGTTCTTACCCAAAGAAGATCCCGCGTGATCGAGAAATCCCAGAGACCCAAAACAGGCAAACCCCCCGCCATTTCCTGGTAGTGTTGTACGATGCCGGCCAAGGCACACAACCTATCTCGTACGAAGGAGAATTTCCGCCCCGAATAATTCGTCATCCAAATCCGCCATGCATCTTCATACGACGATACATCAGAACCATCTTGGAAGAGCCGAGGAAGGCCCTTATGAATGATCTGACCCTCACGGCGTACTTGGAAAATGGCTCCCGGTTCTGTCTCGTATGTGGACAGGCACTGCCAATAAAGCGACTGGTGCATACAGGATATCATGCGACGTGAAAGAAGCTGTTCTTGGAGCACCCAACCTCGGGTACTTAGAATATTTTGCTGTGCAGCTTCTCGGACATCGCCTGCCTGGATTCTTACCATATCCGAGAGCCTGCCAGTCGAACATGGTGGTGTGGTAAAGAAGGCTAGCAATTCCTCCTCTTCGTAGGTCTCGGGGCTATCATGGGAGGGTCGTGGGGCTGAAGACTGGTTTTTGAAGCAGCCTTCTGTGCTTTGGGTAGCTTCGGATGCGGCAATAGTAAGAATGGCTCCCGAGTAGACATCCTTCATGGAAGCCGCTTCGACTTCCCATTCCAGTGGGTCATCTTGTACTATGCAAAGTGCATCAATCCAAAGATATCGGATACCTAATGCCTCGGCAATCGAAATCGCGTCGCGAAACGTTTGTGGGAGTAATGGAAAGGGAATTTCCCTAGTATATATTGCTTCATTCGCTTTCGTTGTCCGTATCGGCAAGGTAGGACCCCAACAATGACTAACGGCAATATATCTCGTTCCAGCAGAGAGATGTGTACTTCTCACTAGCCTTAGTGGGGAATGTCCCGAGGGGCCAGCTTCGATTAAGCGCTTCGGTAAGTAATTCGCTGATGGCCTGCAAGAATGGTGATTAGACAAGCAGTCGCTTAGCCAGGTCTTCATTGTTGAAATCTTTGTAGGAATTGAAGTTTCAGGAACCTTCCAGATCTCGCGGGCTGAGGCTGCAGCTGTCCTCGGGGGTTAGGAAAGAAGACTTATTATAAAGCAAGGAGGAGATTAAATACAGTTAGCCTGACAGGTAGTGATTGAAAACTCGTCGAGGTAAGAACTTTTATCATTTAAATTGCGAAGCTCGACCCGTAATATCGCCCATGATACTCCTGTAGGGTTGTTTTGCACATCTCTAAGGCTAATAACAAGAGAAATCGATTTACTGTCGATAGGGGCTTCGGAGTTGGCTTGATCCGGAACTGGAAGCTCCAACGACCAATTGTCGCGGATCACGCAGCATAGACGACAACTTTCAGCAGACATTACCAAGTCTGCGACGTTCGCTAGATGAGCTCGAGTCGTATTCAACGTTTCGCGAAGTGGAAATAACTGCGAGCAGAATTGGCAAAGACCTGCTTCTAATACCTCCATTATTTCATTGCAAGGAGAATGATGTGTTTACCTTTACACGAACGTTATGAAAGCTGCGGGGTCAGCACAACCTTGAAAGCCTGTCAGTACCCATTGTCACTCAGAACCGTTATTATCCGTTTCCCATCACCCCGTGTGCCACAGCCATTTCCTTCTATTAATAGTAACTGCTTCAGTGGTACCTATTCACTTTCTTCTCCTAAAAAGGCATTCTGTATAAAAATATTGGTATAAATAACATTTACCTGGGCATTTTATTTGGATTGGAATTTATACGTCCTCAATTATGTGGTAAACGCTACAAAAATGGCCGCAATATTCACCTCATCCAAACTTCGGCTCATGCAAAGGTCTCCGCCCTATGGGGCAAACGTGGGTTAGGGGATTCTAGTTTCGGATGCCAGAACCTCCAGTCCTGGAGGCTTCCATACCAACACTTCAACATTTATATGCAAAATCACGCATCCTAGAGCCATGCAACGTGCAATTGGGCACTCCCATCTCACGGCTATGATTAGAACACCCGATTGAGCGAATTTGAGCAAATTCTCCTTTTCAATGTGGAAATAGTTTCCTTCAGCAAATCCGCGTCTATGTATCTATAACAAGGGCAGAGATCTGGGCTTGGAACTTGATGCTATCCACAATATAATGATCAACTAGGGCTGCAGGAGTGTCATGGAGGTATGTCCCCGGAGTGAGGCTAGATCACCAGTAGGTAGTACGTAGGTAGTAGATAGGTTGAAGGTATGGGTAAGGGCTCAATATTATTGATTCCTGGCTCTCTAAACATGAAGAGGGAGCCTGGACACCTTTATATGGTCAACTTCTAAGCTGTCCCCACCCTTCGGGGTAACTTCTACCCTAGTGCTATATTGTTCCCTGACAAGGAGTCCTTGGCCAACCAACTCCTTCTTGGCCTTGGTGGCTTAACTCGACTCTATACACAACTTATCTACTAACTCTGACTGCCTAGGTCTCGCTGGCTTGTTTTATGAAACGAAGTCATTATGGCCTCACTTTCGAATATTGCTAGCATATCCTTGAATGACCATGAACAGCCTGCAATAGCCTCCCGTACGGCCGAAGTGCAAGGCGAACTGCATGTTCAGCTAGCACAGCTTGTATAGCTTGTACGCGTGTAACAGTTGGATCCTACTTTGCCCAAATCTCGTCAAACTATTTCTATTTGGAGTCATCATCGATATAATTTGCTTTCCAGATACTCTGCTATGTGACCCCAGCTGGCTGCCACTGGGCTAAAGGGGTATGGAAGTGCATCGCCTCCAACAACGCACTTGTCCTTCTTATCGTCTTAGAGGGTACAGAGTCTGTCAATCTATAGGTACCTACCTCTCGACTGTTCATATAGGTTTCCGCGGCACACTAATCGTCTGTGAAGCTGGCTTAAGCTACCTGGCTGCTTTAAAAGGCCAAGTTGTCGCGAAGTACTGTATCCTCAAGTGATGGAACGGCGCACCGGGCATAGCTGACGTGGAAATCGGGGATAAGACTCGACATTAATATCAACATATCGAGAGAATTCCTCGCCAAGAAGTATTTTGCCTGTGCACGACCCTGGCGTTGTGGTGCCTATTATCATCCTAGTGGCCTGTAAACTTACGCTACACTCAACATTATGGGCAGCTGCTCAGGGGCACGTCAGTTGTATCGAACGTACCACCAAACCCTGCGGACAACACAGGCAGAAGTTATTCAGCCCTTGTAAAAGAATGCCTCTTCATGTCGAAAGAAAATAATCCTAGGGTTCAATACTTATGGGATATAGCACATGCCAAACGGAGGGTAGTTAGCAGTATCGGAGATAAGCTTGCGTGTAGTAAAGTCCGCTAAATATATTTCCCTGGGCGAGCACCTTGCACCTGAGTGATATCACACATATCCTCAACTCACAACCGGTCAATTTCGTAGCGGAGAGTGAAAGTAGGGGGTTTGTTTAATCAGCAGGACTCTCGCAATATGACAACAGATATAGAGGCTTATACCAGATGAGCTTCGCCTCTACTTACCCGAGGCTGCGGACCCTATGATTAGAGTTCCTCGAGTTTAAATATGGATTTAGGAGTTATTTCGCCAATCAGGGCAGAATCTTCGCACAAGAAAGTGCAATCGATGGTTGTCCAACGGGAAACTACTGAGGGCGTGGCGTCTATTAATCAATCGATTCCTAGTCGTATGAAGAATAACCATAGTATACAGGACTTGCAACTAGCTCCATAGGGTGCGTTCGGACCCCTTTTCGTTGCAGAGGTCTCCATATTCAAGTGGTGTAGAGTCATGAGTTAATCAGTAAGGGAGTTTTGAAGTACCGAGATTTCAAGATTATCTTGGTACAATAAAAAGCCCACGGCACTAGCTTTATTTGAAGATGCCTTTCAAACGAATACATTGCGTTCCTTTCTCAATGATCAACTGACTCCGCAGTAATCGAAGTTATATTTAAATGCCCATTGAAGTGCAGACTCTATCTACGTCTTTAGGCATGGATGCCCTAGATTGCTATTTGCTTTGATATCAACCCACCCAACCTTTGTTAGCTGTTGACGTGTGTAGTAATCTTGGCGGGGACTAAAAGAGCCTCAATAAGGTGGTCTAATATATGAATGGGATCTTCGATACAGAACGTACGACTCCATCCTAAGCACGTACAGTAATAGTAGCTCCCCAACTAAAAATTCCTCGGTAGCTAAAGGTGAAAAATTCGAAAAGCCGGGCTCCCATGTGCTACTCACAATATAAAATCTACATTTCAATGCCTGCTTACATTGAAATCGTAGCAACTACTCTCCAGTCATCGAACTTCATCTTCCTAACTATACGTGTCGGTAGTATCATACTCCCCGCGGCTCTACTGTCCAGAGACGGTGGGGGTACGGCGAGGTGAGCGTATCGAGCCCGCGGGGTTTCAAGAATCGGTGAGGAGACGTGGTGTGAAGAACTACCTAGGTAAGTAGAGCGATTATTCCCAGAGGCCACGACTGCACTGAAAGGCTGGCGACGACCGCTTAGGGTCTCTGCTTCTACTTAAGTAGATAGTGTAACCGCGAGGCGCGAGGTTCAACAGTGCGCAGTTACATCGGCCCGAAATGTTTGAGGGTAACATGCCGATGCTCCTTCAGATTTCATGTTATTTGCTCCGCAAGCTCTAAAATGCACGAAAGTTGTTGTTTAGTAGCTGTAGACTGTGAGTTCTCCACTGGTTGAACCCGGGAAATTTCTTCGCTCGCCTCCGTACAGAATGGCTTCTGAAGGAGGCCATCACCAAGAGTGTCTGGCCTTGTTTAACGGTGTGCATACAACCTACCTACTTTATAAATGGATAGCGTCACCGCCAAGGTTCACCCTATCCGCCAAGCCGGGAGGCGTATGGTAGTGCTACGCTAGCACATAGCAGACTCTTCTCTACCTAACCTTCAATATTCCAATGCACGTATTTTTCTATTCGGATCCAAACTCTTACAGGTATTCTTTCCGAATTCCCGGGGATTGTCATGCTCTGATTGAATACATAGGAGGCGGTCTACACATTCGGACCGTTCTCTGTGGATTCTTACAGCTCGTATGTTGATCTTCTACGGATTTTCATCGCACGTGAGTGAGATGCATTTGGCATGCGTACTAAGCACCGGAATGCTCGGCCTTGAATGTTGAAAGTGCCGGGCACGATAGTTGATCCACAGACACCCCACAACGGCTTCTGGGTTTATAACTACCTACATATATGTCGGCAGTATACAAATGTATGCCAACACATGAAACGCCTTGTAAGATGGAAAGGGGTAGGCGCGGCTTTGCACGTTTATTTCATGCCTGATCACTTCGTTTGCATGGGCGGATTTCCCCTTGTCAACTGGGAGAGCAAACTGTTATTCTAGTGCAGGGTTTGCTGGGTTGGGGTGGGGACATCTACGTCACTGTCCCAGAAAAAACATGCCTCATCCTCTGCTCATCTGACAGCCGCATTTCTCGGGCTCACATCCTCTCACGTCACCAATCCCAAATCCCCGACCGCGGTAGACTCTTAGTGGATAGCTAGAGCCTCGGTGCCATCTTCTCGTAACGCTTTCGGTCCTACTATCTGCTACGATGACGGTAAGCACGGTATGGATCGGCACAAATTAGCACCACCACCAAATCCAGAGCAATCCTGGGGCTGCTGGGCAGAGCTGGGGCAGCTCTGGAGTAAGAGGAGTACTGACTGGGAATCCTGGGGCCCCCCCATTCCCTCCAGTTGCTTCTCCAGATTATCTAATAATGTATGCACGAGCGAAAGTTGATAAAAGCCCCTCTCCCCCCTCTGATGTTGATCATGTCCACGTGGAATCGCATTGCAAAATCATGCTTGTCTGACGCGTGGGAGAGCCCTGACGATCATTCACAAACTCGATAGTCGGTCCTATGCGCTCCTCGACGACGAGACTTCCAAGTCGACACTCAGCTCAACTGTATTGAAATTCAATATACCCTCGCCAATATGCTTGGCTTCAACAACCGCGTCACCTTCGACGATGTGCGTCAGGAGAGGACGGGGAAGGAGGCAGGCCTCGACTTCTCCCCTTTACCCCGTGTATCTGGACGGTCTTTCGTGATGGGCCTCTTAGTGTCGATGGGTGGACTCATCTTCGGGTACGTTAACCCTCATGTCCGTGAAATCATGGATGTTCGCTGACGGGCACTAGCTATGACACTGGCCAAATCTCCGGCTTCCTCGAGATGCCCGACTTTCTGCAGCGTTTTGGCGAATACTTACCTAACGACGATGGCGATTATCAGTGGACATTCACCCCCGTACGCTCAGGTCTTATCGTTGGTCTACTATCCATTGGAACGCTAGTGGGAGCGCTCATCGCCGCGCCCATTGCCGATAGAATTGGCCGTCGTCTGTCTGTGTCGTTGTGGTGCGCTGTGGTGTCAATTGGTTTCGTTATCCAGATCGCTGCCAATAATGCCTACGAGCAAATCATTGTTGGACGACTTGTCGCCGGTTTTGGTGTCGGCGCGCTGAGTCTGTTGGTGCCCATGTAGTAAGTAATCCCAACGCCTTTTCCCTTTTGTTCGGTTGCAAGGCATCCTTCCGTACCAAGGTCAAGGTTGCTATGAAATTATTGGCGGTTGAGAAACACCCGTAGGAAACAAAAATGGTCGATGGCTGACATTCGGTGTAGCCAAGCCGAAACTGCACCTCCATGGATCCGTGGCGCTCTCGTTTGTGCCTACCAATTGTTCATCACCCTCGGTATTTTCCTCGCTGCCGTGTTCAATCTAGGGACATATGACCACCAGAGGAATAGCTCGGCATCTTGGCGCATCGTCATTGGACTTGGTTGGATCTTCACAATTGGGTTAGGTCTGGGTATCCTCTCATTTAGCGAGACACCTCGCTATGCCTATCGACAGGGACGCGTAGACGAGGCTAGGGAAACGCTCATGAGGGTATACGCTGCGCCAGCAAACCACTGGGCCATCCACTCTCAAATGGAAGAGATTGAGAGCAAGCTGCGCGCCGAGTCACAGGTCAAGAGAGGTTTTATTGGTGGCTACGTTGAGATGTTTGGTGCACCACGCATGGCTTATCGTATCGCACTTGGTGTCGCCCTGCAGATGTTCCAACAGCTGTAAGTATCCCCTACCTTCGAAAGCCACTCCCCTGGGTGCTCGTTAGACACGAGGCGAACTCTTCTCTCAACAGTTGCTAACGCCAGTACAGAACTGGTGCTAACTACTTCTTCTATTATGGTACAACGATCTTCCAATCCGTCCAAATTAGCAGCTTCATAACACAAGTTATCCTCAACACCATTAACTTTGGTGTGACCTTTATTGGTTTATATCTAGTCGAGCATTATGGACGCCGCAAGAGTCTGATCTTAGGCTCCATCTGGATGTTCATATGCTTCTTGATCTTTGCTTCTGTGGGACATTTCCTTTTGGATATCGAAACACCAACCAATACTCCTACTGCGGGCATCGTCTTGATTGTTTTTGCCGCTATCTTCGTCCTCGGTTATGCTACTACTTGGGGGCCGATGGTGTGGACTCTTATTGCAGAAATCTATCCATCGGTACGTCTTAAAATCTTTGACTTCAGAATTTGCGATGCTTCGGACCATAAGCAGTCAACTCAAACCCTCCACCTCATAGAACCGTGACAGATATGTGTTATTGGCCATGATTTCTAACCCTTCCGCTGTTATAGAAATATCGCGCAAAGGCTATGGCGCTAGCTACTGCGAGCAATTGGACCTGGAACTTTTTGATTGCTTTCTTCACGCCCTTCATCACAAAGGATATTGACTTCCGATACGGCTACGTGTTTGCGGCTACGAATGTCGTTGGTGGTTTGATCGTCTACTTCTTCTGTATGGAGGGTCAAGGCCGTACACTCGAGGAAATCGACACGATGTACGTTCAGCACGTCAACCCTAGAAAATCGGCTCACTGGGTTGCCCCGCCACCCGAAGAAATTGCTCGTATTCGCCGTGAAGCTGGCACTGGCGAGGAGGATAGCGCTATGAATGCCGCCAGCGACTCAGCTGAGGAGCAGAAGCACTCGTCTCTGCCGAGAAACGAACATACCGAGCATGCATAGATGCGTAAGTGATTGTATAATGAGATAGTCGCTATGTATATGTAGAGATAAGTCTATTCATTTAATAGTATATATTTATCCGGTTACACTTATTCAATTATACCCTGAAACTGACAGTAATTCGTCACACGTTGGACCCTGCTACACTTGTATCGGACTTCAACTTCAATATGATGTTACACATGTCGAACGTACTGCATGCGTCTGGTCAGCTACCTAGGCGTGAAAGAGGCTGATGTGATAAGGGCAGACGTCTGGGCTTGGAATTGATGGTTTTCACAATAGAATAATCTACTAGGGTTTGCAAAAGCCCTTGGCCAGCCAACTCCTTCTGGGCTTGGTGACCGACTTTGGCTCTAGATACATTTGGGCTGCAAATCCTACTTACCGTCTAGGTCTCATTGAACTATTTCATGAAGCGAGGTCTGCATAACTTCACTTTCACCACTGCCTGCACGTCTCTTGAAGATCATGAACAGACTGCGTTACGCCCATAGTCGTAAGCGATCTGCGTGTTCAACTATACGCGCATGTGACACGACCTCTTCATATCCTGTTGGTTGATCTACTAATAGAACATGTTATATCGACGATTTTCAGGTGTCACTAAGCAGTTCTAAGTAGAGCGGTGTATTGTCATATTTGGTAAAGAACAACCTGTTTGACGGTAGTCGAGACCACTCAACCCATTAACACCATGGATCCGATTGTCAAGACAGAAATTCAGCGCTCGCGCCAACTCTATGACCATTGTCACAAGATAACCACTCGTTGGGTGATAGCATTTATAACAAAAGCCATGTGGACATTCACGCGGCATCAGTATTACCCGTGACTTACTCTTTGTTTAATCTCATACTCAGTGGACATCAATTCATTGCATCCTCCGATTTTCCAACGTATCTTAGCTCTCTCTTTACTAATATACTGGTATGACTTATATTGGACTGTATAGTGAGTAGGCTGAAGGTATGCCAAACCTCAAATTTTGTTTCAAGACTCGCCTTTTCCTCCTCCCCCCTTTTTTCAGAAAATAAGAGAGCGCTCAATATGCCATTATCTCACACACGCGAGATCAACACAGAAAATACAACACCACGTAGACCTATCTCACGAGCGAATGATACTTACTTAGTCACTACTCACCATCTTTCATCGCTGATTCACCGGAACCGGAAGGCACGGCAGTACCACCTACGCAAGGCACCGTGATGCGAGACTCATCTAGTTACGCGTTCGAGGGATTTTCACCAAGACATGACACGATATGACTACGCCCATACTACGACCACGTGCCGCGAAGGTAGACAAGGAAATTATCTCCCGGGAGAAAGTAGAATGCGAGTATTCCCATAATCACCTCCTTTCTACGGGCTGATCTACAGTGTAGTAGGCAACAAACAGCATACCCTTAATGACGCGACAGGCAAACAAGAAACTAGTCCGATGAAAGTAGAAGGGATAATAGGGGTAGGGTAATCAAGATAAATTTTGACGTAACAGAACTCAGAGAGCATTCTAGGTCATGAACTACGTTAGCGGAACATCTCTGATCTTGTATCGCCGCATCTTGGGTTCGGATGTTAGATACGAACCCCCCTTTAGCTTCATCATTACTTTACACATCACGAAAATATTTATCTGAAACATATCTCTGGCACCAACACAAGCTGCAAGATCGACCGCTAGGATTATTACTTCTTAATTTTTGGTTTTCTAATTAACCCACTTTCGGGAGCTGGTGACACCACACGAAACTCTACTAAATGCAATTTTATATAACAATCAGTGTAGCCCTTGTACGTGCCTCTATCATGCGCCATGCTTATAATTCATGCCACACTCCGAACCATTGGGGAAATCTGTCTCTGCCTCTAGTAGCCACATGTATCATTCCATAATGAAATCTTTCACTTCGTAGGATTGTAGATAGTATCAGAGGCCAAACAAGTCGCATTTATCGCAACAATGAGCCAACAAGCTTGCGATCCTGAGTGTCATGAACACTCTCCCATCGCAATACACTTATTATGCTTGACGTGGTCGCAAAATCCGTAACCTTCTTGCTCGTACTGGTGCCACTTTGGACTCATATCATATCGGATATTTTGAACCGACTTTTTCCCTTATCCCTGGCCTATAAAAACGCCCGCCTACTCGAAATGACGCGAAGAACACAAAATTGAGGTGGGATTTGCCGCGAAGACAGAATCGAAATCACCGAGATATTATCAAATCGTACGAGGAAGTGAAGCTGAGTCAAATATACACGGAATATAGGCGAAATAGAGAATAGGTGAATCGTGAGAACCAGGGTATCGAAGGAAGGTAAGCCGATTACATAATGATGGCGGGAATGTCGACGTTAGCCTTGATACTCTTGTGGGGGAGAATGCTTCCGCCGTTGACGTATATCTCGTCGCCAATTGTGACATCGTCGCCTAAAACTGTAACGTTTTCTAGACGCGCCCACTTGCCAACTGAGCTGTTCCAACCAACGATGGTACTCTTGATCCAGGCGTGGTCCTTGACTTTAGAGCCGGGTAGAAGTGTGCAACGTTGAAGACGAACACCATCACCAATCACACAATTCTTGCCAATAACGACATTCGGCCCGATGCGGCAATTCTTTCCGATTCTGGCGGTCTCGTCAACCATCACATTACCACCATGGACGTAGCTCTCAGATGGCGAGACCAGAAGCTTGGGGTTCTTCTTAGCTAGCGATGAAAGATAGAGACAAGTGCCTGTCAGGAAATCCTTGGGCTGTCCGACATCCATCCAGAAACCCTCTAGATCAAATGAGTGTAGTTGGCCGTCGCGCACAACGGCGGGGAAGGTCTCTTGCTCGATAGATGTGGGGCGATTCTTCTCAATACGGCTGAGAACAGAGGGATTAAGGATGTACAGGCCAGCGTTGATACGGTTTCCGACGAATTCGACGGGCTTCTCGACGAAACGATCAATACGTGAAGGGTGGTTTGGCTTGTGAACCACCACACCATACTTTGAGGGCTCCTCGACCTTGGTCACAACAATGGTACCTTCGTCTCCGTGAGCCTTGTGAAAGTCGACTAGCTGCTTAAAGGGAAATTCGCAGGTGACATCGGAGTTTAGAACAAAGAACGGGGAATTGTCCTTGGCCAGAATTTCTTCTGCAAGCTTCAAGGGCCCAGCAGTGCCAAGGGGTTCGGGCTCGAGGGAGAAATGGATCTTGAGGCCGAGTTGATCCTCGTACTATGCATGCTACAAGTCAGCGAAGAGCACAAGAGCCAAGCAATCTTGGTGTAACTATCTTCCCCGATACTGACCTCTTTTAGAACACGTTCCATGATTTCAGGGCGGTAGTTGACGGCGAGAACGACGTCAGTAACGCCAACGGCAGCTAGTGCCTCAATCTGGTGAAGAATCATGGGCTTGTTGGCAAATTCAACGAGAGGCTTAGGCATTGTGAGAGTCTAATGAACACAAGATGGTTAGTTGTGACCATCGAGGTGAGCTGAAGCTGGACTATCATGGCGGTTGAATTTGTCGGATTCGGCCTTGTGCGACTGTAGAATCACGTACCAGAGGGCGAAGGCGAGTGCCGAAGCCACCAACGAGGATGAGGGCTGTACGGCGCAACCATAGTTAGCTAATTGACCACGTTGCAAGTAGGGGGCAACAACAGGCTACTGCCAACTTACCCTTCATATTGAAGTAGGTTGATTATTTATTAGGGGGGAGGGAACGAGTGACGGGATTTGTAACGCGGCGAGAGTGCTGTGGCCAGGCTCTGCACCAAACTGGGAGGTGTAACAGATGTGATAGACGTAGTCGGGTTCGAGGCTGAAGAGGCAACGTTGGCGATGAATGTGAGCGAGGAGCAGAGAAGGGGGTTCAAGGTTGGCGGTGTGGCCAGTTAAGAGGCAGCGGGTAGAAATTATGGTTTAGGTAAGGGCCGCAGAGGCGCAATTTGGGCGTTTGGCCCGGGGTGCGTGGAAAAGGATGTGATTAATTAGGTACTGGGTATGTAGGTAGAGTTTATGCCTGGGACGGGCGCGTGTTACCAGCAACAACAGAGTCTGATGGTGGTGTGACGAGTTGTCTGGTTCGCTCAGGATATCTGCAGAGGATATGGAGGATATGATGAATCGAAGCAACGAAACGAACGCCTTTTGCTGGCTTTGAACAGATACCTATGTCTGTTTGTCTTGTCTGACTGTGGGTGAGTTGGATGCGTTTTGTTAGGGGGTGGTGGTGGAGGTGGTCAGGAGACTTTACCTAGGTAGGTACAGACACCCACACAGGTGCCTGTCGGGCCTGTCTACCTACCTACCTACATGGTAGTGTCTGATAGTGAGCAGCGGGCAGTACCTAGAGGTACCTATGCTTAGCTGCCACCCCCAGGCCCCTGCGCCGTACCTTAGGTACCTATCTAGGTATCTACTAGGCAAGCTAGGTACGGTCCAACAGTTCCAGCCAGTCACCTGCAGAGTGTACGGCATGTCGACAACCACCAGATATCAGATGAACACGAGATCAGATGGTCCCCAATTGGCAAATTGCATGGTCTGGTCTGGTCTGGTCTTACTTGCTATTGCAAGGCACGGAGGCCACCGACGCACGCGGTGGCCACGCCACGCCAATGTTCCATTGGTCTATGGACTACCTACCTAGGTACCTACTATACCTACTATAAGGTAGTATATAGGTAGGTATGTAAAGGTGCCGAGGTGCTTACCTGCCTTGGCCACGTCTCCCACGTTCTATTCCAGCTACCGTACATACTTACTTAGAGACTAGAACCTACTCAATCCATTGGAATACGATACGATGCATTCGATGCTGGAATCGAGGTACGTAAGCATGTATGTAGTAGGTAAAGTAAAGGTTTCTAACAGTCCGTTGACCAATGCTGCGCCCCTGAAGCTCGCTAGGAGCAAGGCCTGTGCCGCCTCTAGCCACAATGAGACTGAAAAGTGGACAAAAGAGGAAATTGAGCAAGGTCATGGGACCAATCACGTTTCTTTGAGCGACAAGAAGGGCCGTGTTACTCCCCTCCTAGGAAAAAGCCAATGTGATGCCGGGCTGCCAACACGAGGCTCGAAACAAGATCAGCATTCGACAGCATTTTGTCTTGGGAATTAATTCATGCTCTAACATTTCCTTTCAGCTGTGTGTGCTTACTGCCGGGTCCATGCGGAAAAAAGTTGATTTAGAAAGGATGTCAACATACTATTCTATTGTTGGTTGTCTGCATGGTCAACCTAATTAAATTGCAGATCCAGGTTTTCGTCGGCTTCCGAACAGGCGAAACAATAATTGCCAACTTTTGAGCTTGGTACAAGAATGAAACGAAATGAAAGGCCTTGTTGCCGTTCCTGATTTGTGTAGCACGCGCAGCTGGCCACATCGCCAGACATCAATTCATCTATCGCCAATGGGTGTTACAACTTACTTACGAAGTACTTACAGCCCTCGTACATGGATGGCTATTCATTTCCCGCACACATTGTATAACACGTGTCAGTCCGAATCACGCAAATTCCGTCTTACCGTCTTCCAAAAGGGCAACTTGCTGTGTATTGTCTTTTCCAAGTCAATGCAAATTGTAAGCCACAATTCTGTATCCCGTGACACTTTAGGTCTTCGTCATCTCTGTAGGAAATTGACCTCTCTACCTCCCCCGTCTTTCTTAGTGGCCGATGACACAAGCCACCTTTGTTCATTCTTTGAATAGCCAACCGCCAGCATTCTCCATTGGCCTATCAGCTTGTTGCCCGACGCTTCAAAGATGTAATTTTGTCGCGCCCAGACAAGCGGGGAGCCTCCCGCCCCCCCACGATGACATCCCGCGTTTTCAATTCTCATCACACGAGGATGCCCAGTCTCGTGTTCCGATAAACGCCCGCTCACCACCAGTGAGCTCAAAAGGAGTACAGGCCAACCCAGCCCTACAGCTGAGTTGCTTGTCATCAGATACGGACAGACAGACATGTCTATCCTCAATTGCGCCCGAAAACTGCTAGACGGGCGGGCTGTGGCGTGACATGCAGAGATACCGTAGGTTTCCTCCGTTTACCTACTTGAATAGAATATGTTTGCCTAGCAAACACGGATATCAGGAGAGAGAATGAGTATTGATTGGATCTGGTCCCACCTCTAGGCGAGAAATCCCTTTTCTCTTCTATTTGCTCTTCCCAGGGGCAAAAAAAAAAAAAAAGCCCCTCGTCTCCCCAACTACCGAGCCGCCGCCGCCGCTGTCGTGCAACAGTCAAGATCCAGTCGATTGACGTGTCTCAGATCACGGGACCCTGGGGCAGAGAAAAGACGGTCTGTCTTGCCCGCGGTTCCCAAATAGTTGCTTAGTATGCAGGATGCTGGGCTACACAGTTCCTACACTTACCCAGGTACGGGGTACACTACCGCAAATATGAGGAGCTGACAGGTCGAACCACGGCAATAAGAGTTACATGTGATATACTTGTCTGCTACTTTCAGACGAGTGTGAGTAGGTCGATGTATGTCTCAGAAGCGTAGGGCCTGGCCAGTGGTGGGGATGAATGTATGTATATGGGTGAAGTTAGATGGAGGCAAAGAGGCCCAAGTAGAGAGGGGGTTGGGCTGGAAGTCTGGGGAAAGCATGCGGAGAATATAGGTAGACCAGTCTTGGGAGGCTAAAAGCCGGCAACCCAGATTTATTCTAGAGGTTGTCAGTCGCTTGATAAATAGCGAGCCCATTGTTTCCCCCATACGATCACCTCGTTTGCGCTTAGCACAGCATGCCGTGCATTCGCTTGTCGAACACATAGCGCGCATGGTGGTGGTGTTGGGGTGTCGTCGTGATGGTGGTGTGGATGGGTGGATAGGTGGATGAATGGATACATACATACCTACTTAACCTACTCTAGTAGTATCATACGGGCAGACTCTGGGTATAACCACCTAACCTACCTACCTACCTACCTACTACGTAGTATACGTATACTATAAGTGTACAATGCACAGCTATGCGGGTGTGGGCGGGTGGATGGGATGATGCAGGTATGCGTGTCTTGTCACACCCGCAGCACACCAGGCACAACAGAACCCGTCTGAACGGCACCACCCACACCACTCGTCATGTGTGTGTGGTGAACCTACACTACACACACTACACTACACCACACCACATGGGATTGGCATCGCGGCAACCAATCCAGCGCGATGGGTTCCTGGCAGCCCCCATCAAGGCATGTCTCCTTCTCCACCAGCTACGGGAGGTGGTTTGGAAGGAGAATGGAAACATGAATATTCCATCACTAGCCTGTATAGGCTACACATACAGACAAGTGTCATAAGACCCATGTGGGCAATGGCACGGACTTGGAGGCCCAGAAGAATAGGAAAACTGTATATTTCTTTCAGCATCACTGCCCTATAAAGTTTAACTCTTCTCAAGTTGCATAGTCGTAAATTCATCATCGTGGTCGTTCATCATCATACATGCTGGTCATCATCTACCCCTGAGGGCAGTCTTTCTCAAACACGCCATAAAGATAAGGAGAAAAAAAAGGGAAAAGACCCGAGAAACCGGCTCCGCTCGACATGAATTGTCGTTAATCCTACAATGATTTGCCTTGTTCGGATTGGCTGGCGGCTTCCTCATAGAATAGCCTCCCGGCCACGCTAGTCGCCCCTGTCTCCAGGCTTGGAGATGTCACTGAAGTCCATACATATGGGCGCGGGTTGACTATTCCCCCTCCTAAATCCCTAACCCCTACCGGAAAAAAGAGGGGGTAAAGGGCAAATAAATTCGCTAGAAAGCCTCGGGGTGATTCCACACATGGGTTTCAAGGAAACTATAAAAGGAGTAGGCAAGTGTAGACGGGTTCTAACTTCATCATTTCTTTCCTCCCTTCCTCTGGGTGAAAACGCTCCTAAACATCTATCCATGAAAACTAGCTCAAGTTGATGCGGGCACATTGGGTAATATGCGCACAGAAAGGGGAGGCCATCAAAACCGCAGAGCGGCGTCTGCTGTATTACAGAAGGAGGAAGCCCTAGGAGCTTTTCCGAGAGGCCACCACCATTCAGGCTATAAAAATTTGCTTTCCAGAAAAAAAAGAAGGAAGGGAAATATTTCCATCCTCATTGAACCGGCCTGGTTCTACGTCTTCCACGGAACTATTATCATTTGCCGCCAAAGCAGAGGAGAAGGAGACGGTAGAATGCAAATTGAAACCAAGGGATTCATCCAATCGTGGAGGAAAAGGCAGCACGTGTTAAAGAAAAGAAGAAAAAATCCAAGGCTCTCTCGGGGAAAACTTCATCCCGGAAAACAAAGGTCGTAACATCGTCGATTTAAATTCGTAAGGTCGTCATTCATCGTTAGTTTATGCAAAATTTTGTGTCCGTTTCTTCCGTCGGGCTATGCTGAATGGGGTATTTCGCGGAATATGCCTTGGGGATAAGCTGTGAAGCTTCACCACGTGTATATATCGAGTAATCCGGCGCCTCGCGTTCATGTTCCTGGCTCGCACCTTTTTTTCTCTCTCGCTCTGTCGCTCTCCGTTTTGATCCGCCGACTCTTAGGTGGGGAGAAAATATCTGGTAGATTATAGCATTGGGAAGAGGGATATAAGCCCATTGGTGTGTGCATTCACTGCCTCCCTCACTCGAAGGATATGGTTGAACTGCTGCTCGAATGTCCAGATCTGTGGCCATGACGGCTCTCCCGGTGGCTGTGGCCATGACCGTGACTGGCTGAAGCATGGCGCGACTTCTTGCGCCTGCTGGAATCATTGGCTGGGAGACCCTGGACAATGCCGTTACGGGCAAGCATGCCTCCATTGACGGAAAAGTTCCGGCACACCATAAACGCCCTCATGGCTGCGTTTTCCTGGGCCAAGGAGTTCGATTCGTATGCAAGATCCGTCTGGTACTCGCGACCGTTCACCAGAACCAGGCACGTGTAGCCACTCGGGTCTCTGTAACACTCGTACGAAGGGTCTTGCCACCCACGACGTCGGCACAGGCCTATCGGATACCTAGTCAGCTACTGATCCCGGAAAACTCTCGTATAATTCGATACCAAGCTCGATCGGCGCATGAGAAAATGCAGCCCTGATGGCGCCAGGAACGATCGAGCGTGATGTATATGCATGACAGCCCAACGGCGATCGCCCCCAGGCAAAGAGTAACCCGCAGAGCCTGGCTCGCGCCTTGCAGAAAAAAACGTGGGCTGGTCTAGTTATTTGCAAGGCAACGAGTCAGGCGAAGCACTGCACCCAGCCCGTTGCAGCAGGAACACAATGGCAAGCTGCACATGCTGGTGACGCAGGGGCATGCTTGCTCACGTGTGTGAGACGACGAACTCCCGTCGTTCTGTCCGCCCCACCAAGACAGGACAGGACAGCATCACCATTGACAACCGAGGGACGTCGTATAAAAAAGATGACCAGCGCGGGGTTAACCGGAGGACTTACTCTCGAGATACTGCATGTAATAGCCTGACATGGTTGCTGACCGGTTGCTTGGGACGTTCTTTTTCCCTGTAACGACCCGAAGGAACAAAAATAAAAGAAATAAAGTATATAGCCCTGAGATTAGGTAGAAAAAAGAACCCCCACACACCCAACAGATGCCAGACAGATGCGAGTAATCCCAGGGGGGTGACAATGCTGCGGGAAAATGGACGTGGTATAGAAGGTGGTTTTGGACACTCCTGGAGTATGCAGTCGAGCCTAACCGTGGAGAAGGGGGAGACGAGGGACGAGACCGTCTAGACAGGTAAGGCGCCAGCGGGAGAAGATGGACGAGTCTGTACTACGAGGCGAAGGTGTGATGTGGTGGTGTTGAAGAAGGAGGTTATGCTACGTATTCAGGGCTGTGTGCAGAAAGACGAGCCATCGACGGCGAGACATGTGTGCTTTATTGCAGAAATAAGCTGTTGGTGCGGGGCAGGGATATCAAGACGGAACAAAGGCAACAAGACAAAATAGGAACGTGTTTAGAGAGGGAGACGTTCCATGGACGCAGCAGCGATGCGGCTCTCAAGAGTGTGACCCCATCTTGATGTGTTGGCGCGAGTCGTTGCCATTTGATAAAAAGTCCAGAGACTAGGCATCTCCCCACTACACATGGGGTGTGCATCCCTAGAGTCGATCACCTCTCTCTTAGATAAGTCTTCGCTATACTAGATTCTCCTAGTATCAAGTAGTACCGCCCTCTCCGTTCGAGTTCCGTTCCATACCCTGTCCGACGTGTGCCGGGGACGGCTGGGTAAAGGAGACACTGGGTTATGCAAAGGGCAATGAGCAGGCATTGTGGAGTGGCAAAATGGAACTGGGGACCAATTCTGCGGCCAAAACGCGTCCTCGGCGTAACTATGAAGGGGAGGGGGAGGGGAATTAAGGGGTGGGAGGAAAAAAAAAAATTAAGAAATAAAAAAAATAAATAATAATAATAATAATTGTGTAGGCATGGGACGGCGGGACATCGTCAACGCCCGTCTAGCTGTAGTATGGATGTCCACTAGGCCAGCAGCCAGTCACGTCTCGTCGTTCAGACATATTGGGGAGCCGACAAGAGGGATGTGCCTGGTTCCCAAGCATCTTACCGGTACATTAACAAGGAACAAACGCGCAGAGTGATGTCGAGGTAGTTCCGATCTCGACTTAGACTCGATACAGTACTAAGTGGAGGGGGGGAAATCCGATCGAAGCCGTCGTCGAGATATCCAACGGCGGCACTAACGACGCCTGGCCTGGTACTTGCATGTTCATCTGTCATGGTACCACGATGCCCGTCCGCGACGGTGATGGCATGTACACTCTGTGTACCCATCTCGTCTCCCTGGCCAGGGCTCGACGGCGGGAGACGAGAGGGCAGAGAGAGGGCATACACAGCTCCCATAGCGTCATGGGAGCGGCCATCACGTCCTCAGTCCCGAGTCTACCAAGCCGTCGAGCCAATCCGACGGGATAGACGGCATTGCATTAGCTTGCGAGCTCGCAAAAGACGACCACGGCGGGACGTGGTGGACTGTAGAGTACATACGAAGTAGGTAGATACAAATCTTACCTACGCTACCAGGAAGAGTGGGCCTGGTGGCAGGCCGTAAGCGATTCGCGCGTACCAGTTCACATACATACATAATAATGTAGCTCCTGTGATCTGGCGTAAGCATACATAGGATGAGGCGACCGGACAAATCAAAGCCTTAGTGTCGCCATGTTTGGTCTGATAGAATTGTCAAGATAAAAAGTCATGACGATGACCGGGGTCATTGAGCTCAGTCTCTGCGCATACTTACACTATACTACCTATGTATGTACAGTACGTGCAGTACCGAGCACAGAGGCCGCAGGCGATGCCTACATACCTACCTACAGTCAGTACCTACTATCTACACTACCGGTATGTAGGTTGGGATGTTAGTGTGAAGCGTATCCAGAGAGTCATCGGCGCGTGGCGGCTGGACTATCAGGCCGTGGGCGGTAATGTATTACTGCACTCCGCCTGAGAGAGGCAGGTAGTATGCAAGCAGGCATTCATTCCCATCATCCCCAGGGCCTCTTTTGGTTTTACTGTAGGTACCTATTTGTTTATTTGTTTATCTTCCGTTAATCGAGTCTCTTCTTTACTTGTTTGGGCCGAGTTAGGGTCGTCTTGGACTGGCTGACTCCGGCCGCCCAGTCCAAGCAGGGTGCACGGAATGGGGATAGAGGATGACGGGCAGGCCACTGGCGTCCCGGCCGAGATGACCCTGGGCAGCGCAAGAACCCAGGAAGAACCCAAGAACCCAGGCTGTTGCTCGCAGCGTCCAAGTCGAGCCGGATACACACAATACTCACATACAATACACACACGATACACGCTACAAGTCGGTGAAAGAAATGAGGTGCATGAACACACTGGAGGAGGGGCCTGCACAAGTGGAGGCGACCCTGGTCTCGCTCCAAACCTGGCCAACCTGGGTCAACCTGGGTCAACCCGGTCGGTGGCCTCGACGGCGATTGGGAGAGGCACTGGAGCCCTGGTCCGTCCTGGTCTGCCCTGGGAGACCCGACAGGAGCCACTAAGAGCTCTATGGGCAATTGGCCAATGAGCGGCCGGCGTGGTGCAGAATGGCGAGGCCGCTAGCCAGAGGAGAGACGCTTAACACCTCATGCAATGATGAGTTGGCACCGCCGCTGGATATTAAATCAAGATGGGCCCGAGTCTGGACGGTGTACGAGTACCGGCCGTGGGCGGCGCAACCAGCCCGGCCCAGAGGTACCGCTACCGGCGGCAACTTTGCAACGTGAAAAGGCCTGCACCACCAGTTGCATATGGACGAATTAGCCGCTTTCATGATGACGAGAACTTTGACCGAAAAAAGACGAAGGCATCGTGGTATTTGCTGCGATCGGACGGGGCAGGGCGCCGAGAGTGGTCGTGGGGCTCCATTCCCATCTCCATATCCAACCACAGGTATTCATGACACTACCATCATGGACAGCAGCTATGTCCGTATAGAGCTATGCTACTACGATATATGTGTACGTGTGTGTGTGTGTGTGTACATATGTATCTAAGCTCTGAGATCCTGTATTGGGCAGTGCAGGCTGTAGGACTTTTTCTCTTCCACCCATCTGCAGCTACGGCTCACGTCTATTGTTGTCTCTCCTGTGGGTTGTTATGACTTCTTTGCCATCGTCCCCTCAGGTTAGCGCGGATACAAGTGCGGTATTATGTTGGTAGTTGACTACATGTAGGCACTGTAAGTATATAGATATATATGTACATCACGATACCTACCTACATTTCTTACACGTACCGCAATACAAGTGTTCACACTACATTCATCCGGCATATACAGTATACTTAGTAGACACGAATCGAAGAGCAATGATAATGGTACTAGTAATACTAGTATCATTGAGGTACTATGCGAAGCTAACGTAAGTATGGTGCAGCATAGTGTAGCGTAAGGAAACGAACCTACTAAGTAGTGTCATAACAACTGGGACGCGAGGGGGTCGGCCACGGCACGAGGGGCGAATGAAGGGCAAAACTGCATCCTGTGTCATACACTACTGTAGACTACCCAGGTAGGTAGGCAGATTATCTGACGGCAGATGAGGCAGGCGAAGTGGACTAAGCATAGAAGAAAAAGAAGATGTAGGTAATGAAGAGCCAGGAAGCCCAGGAGCTCAATAAACGAATGTGATATGCTGCATGCGTTGCGCCCGATCGTGCATTTCTTCGGTACTTGATACGTACTGAAAGCCGCCTCGGGGGTACAGTATGGAGAATGAGGACACTCACAACGTAGCCTCTATTTGAGTAAGAGATGTGGAAAGCTTAATAAGTCAGCTGCAAGTATAGCATACCTGGTCAGTCGGTGGCCTTGTTTACATGGTTCAGGTCGTGTTCAAGTGGCCTAGGAAGTTCACTGTGCTCCCATCGGTAACTAATTGTTACTAGTATAATTGCGATAACTGTGTGGTTGATGATGGTTGTCAAGTTGTTGTTATTGTTGTTGTTTAGCACCAATATTGACCCAACCAATATACGACGTAGTTGATGTTGACAAGAACACTAAGTTGACCCTTAGAATTTCGTCGAAATTCATGGAGGTACACAATACATAGTAATACATGTACAGTAGACGCGAGTGGCAACCCTCTCGATTGCGAAACCAAGCAGAGTAGAATAACCTAACTGCTGTTGTTCCAAATAAGATGCTTGCTTCTGTGATCTGCTGTATGCACCTACCATGGCTGATGCTGGATGATACACAGCGTATCTCAAAGACGTTATCTCTGCATTGTGGTCTTAAAGAGTCAACCGATTCCCTACATTCCTGTACGTGTATGTAAGGAAGACTGATCGATCTAGCTTACTGCACACAAACACATCGATATGCACCTTGGTCAATCATGTTACTGGGTGGTGCAGCAGGATGTGTGGACGTGGAAGGCAATCTTGTAGCACGGATGGCAGCTGTGCAGTCAACCATACATCCGACTCGGAAAAATAGTCAAAACATGTAAAGCGACAGAAGCATAGCCCCGTTGTTATGCGGCCATTGAGACAAGTTTCATAGTCGATTGAGGTTTTACATGACACAGATAAACTGAGCTGTTGTTAAAAGGGGACGTGCTTTGCTTTCTGCCCCTCAACCACTTGTTCTTGGTAGACGCCAGTATACGTAACATACATTATGAACAAAATTCCACATGCTAGAGTGCCATTCATCTAACCTACCTCGTAGGTATCTGGAGACATACATGTACATGATGTATGTATGTATGTAAATGCACCAACAAGTACTTTGCTATCTTGTGGAATGTAACGTGTTTGTTTGTTATCGTCATCAGTTACCAGTCAGCAGCGTACCCGATCTTCGGGAATTATACCGAGGCCAGCCATGATATCATTGTTGCTTACTTACTACATACATGGTAGTAGGTGTGGGCGACCTAGATGAGCGGCCGGGACCCTCCCTCAATGTATCGTACGGCGGCGAAGTTGAAGTGGCCAACTTTCAGTACCACACATCTCGACACGACATTAGATATACCCTTTTCCCCACCTAGCAAGGCAACGATGTCGTGCATGAAGCCTCGCCTGCATTAGGAACGTACCATACATCGAGTTATGGTGGTCTAGGCACTGCCCTTGAGGTGGTAGGTAATGCTGCCATCAAAGGATGTATCTTAAGCCGAATAAAATAGGAGGTCTGTGTATGCGTCTTAGCCCCATCCGGAGTGCTGGCTGGCATGTAACAAACAGTAATCCATAACGTAGAAAGAGTGATATGAGTGCAACAACGCCTTCCGTCAGGACCCAGGTTGCTGGTCGGATTATTCTCTCTCTGGGTATTCTCAAATCGGAAGATATGCCCGACGTCTGAAGATGCCGCAATTATTTGCTCTAGGATTCGTCGCATATAAGTTAATCGAATCATAAATGGAAGGCTGTACGCCGTTAGGAGAAGCTAGTCAAAGTTGCTACCCAGCCATTCCATCTACTTCGATAACTAATTTTCCCTTCCTAGAATGAACTGTGGCCGCACGCCATGCGGCCACAAATGGAGACTGCCACGTCAAAGAGGGCGTTGTACCTCCTACGATTTTAGTTGTTGGGTCCTCCTTGCAAAAGCAAGCGTAGCGTGTACCAACACGGACTATAGGAGGCAACTTGCTCCGGTCCTATGACTGCCATGCTGAACAAAGCAAGTAACATGGCAAGGCAACGTCTCGAGCAACCATATCAACGACAAATACCTTACTTCACTATGGCAGCTGGGTGGTATTATAAGTCAACGACACTTCCATGTATGGCAATACCTAGCTGCACATTTCCGCCCACATGGAAGCTTGTGACGATACTATAGTGAGAGTGGCGGTAGTTCGGATCCTGGACTCGTCAAGGTGAGCTCAGTTTCCTCTGGAGTGACCTCTCGCCCCGCAAGTCTGCAGTGACTCACGGCTAACTACTGAAGTAGGTCTGGTATCATGCCGTGCGACGGCCCAAGTTGTGGAGAAAACAGATGAAAGGCGCCTGAGAGGCTCTCTGATACTGTTGTACTAGAACTGGGCGAGTGATTCCTGCTAGTGTCTTTCGGTAGAATGTGAGCTAATCGACATGACGACTCAGCTGCATGCGTGATCTAAAAGAGTCTGGCCAAGAATAACGGTCAATTTTTCTGGAATTGGACGGAATTGGGCGGGCCAATATTCCTTCCTGGCCTTGTAACTTGCCGCCCTCGATGTACAACCGCGGAACCATCTCGCCAAAATATACAGAGGTACTGTTGTCTGCTATTTGGGTTCATTACATCCCGTACACGCTGAAGGACGCCCCTATCTACAACGTAGGTAGGCAAGCTTCACTGCAAGAGACGTTCTACGGCAGAGCACCTCAACTAGCGCCAGCTAGGTCCAAATGTAAGAAAAGTCTGTTAGTTTTCCCTTTAATACTGAGCCGAAAAGGGGACCGTAAGCTGGCACGGACCGCTCCAAGGTGTTTAAACTGGCTTGGCGCGTTGTCAAGTATGGCCTAATATGCGGCCATAGGCGGGTCAACACCCTTCAAAATCCCGGCCGAGAGGAGAAGTATGACATGATGTCTTTCCGTTTATCCTCAGGAATAACATAGACGGGATCGGTTGGATTAACCCTATCTTCTTCATTATACACTTGTGTTTCTCCAATGTGAGGCACGACCTCATATGTCCAAGGAGGAAACGTCTCGTCGCCATCTGATGATAGTATACGGGTGACGTGCTGTGCTGAGGAGAGGCCATTGAGTACATAACAAGTATGATACGCGTCTGAAGGCCTATGTTGACAGGTTTAGCCTTCAGCCCAAATCGTAAGGTAGGGAAGAATGTGTTTCTTACTTGCCCGGCTTATCCCTCATGCCACCTCGTTTTGTTTGGTCTTGCCCGCAGCATAAAATGTAACGGATAAGTCCTTCACGGGAGTACAGATCATCGATACCAGAAGAGGGGTTCTCGGTGCTAGTTGGAATTGCCGGCCCGTGAATGGCGGCTTCTATCAGGGGCCAGCATCCCCCGACCCAGTGGCTATAGCAGCCGTCGACAAGTTTGTTGGTACGTCCACTAAAACCACCCTCAGGGGCATATTGACGCGATGAGAGCCAAGAGATAAGTCGTGGTATGTCGAGGTACCTGGTTTGGAGAGTTAGTACAAGGCGACTTCTGACAAGTGCCGGCTACGTGAATAGGTAGAGCAGTGCAAACAAACCGAGAGAAGATACGATGTGGAGCATCAAGGATGGCCAGACAGCCTAGGGCACAGAATGAGTATGCACCATGGGCTTCAGCGCCTGGTTTTGCCGATATGCCGCCTTCAAATGTTTGACCTGCAAAGATCAGTATGCGAATCCGACCTAAATGGGCCTGTTATCAGGGTGGCTTACAGCGGCGTACGTAGTCAGCTAGGCCTGTGAACAGATTTAGCCCTTCAGGCGCGAGAGAAGATAGGGGCTCGGATGCTAGGTCGAGGGGTAGCTTTAGTATGGTAATTAGAACAGCGGCACAATAAGCTCCCCTAGATTTACGGTCAGAGAATGCGTGGCTGGCTAGAGAATAGCAATACTTGCCTGACATCAATCTCCCCCCCTAGTGTTAGCCGAAAACCTCCGTCCGGCTGCTTCAAGGCGCAAAGCCATTTCCACATCGCTCGTCGGTCAATCACTTGATATGCAGCTTCTCCCCCTACAATTGCCAGCGCTAAAACCATAGCATAAGTGGTAGCTAGGTGAGATTGTTGACCAAAGCCTCCACCAAACCCGCCACTTTCATTTTGGATCGAACGCGCTGTTTCCACGAGGTCGTCACGATACTTAGATACGTCGACTCCCAAAAGAACCAGGCTGTTTAAGCACCAGTAGAAGATCCAGGGCCTGCTCGCATCTGCCGTTTGGAACGCGGCAGAAAGGGGCTTCAAGCTCTTCTCTAGGAATGCTATATGTCGTTCCCGGCTGAGGCAAGGCACTCCGTGGCGGTTGACACGTATGCCGTCCCGCGTACCTGCGAGGAACGTTCTACAACTGCTCTCTACGGCATCCTGCTTGACTGAGGTATCTGTGACCAAAGAATCCTTGATCTCTGGTGCTGTAATGAAGAGGCCGGGAACCATGGGCGCCTGACGAGGTTCCTGGGACGGAGAGCTGTACGCCATCCTGTTGTTTTGGCGAGAGACTGACGCGCTTGCTGCCGGTATGTCGCGCCTCTGTCTATGTTGCACGGATCTCTGCCGGACCCGGGCCAGGCTCGTCTTTATTGGCATGAATAGCGCGGTGGCTTTGAGCGTAGTTTGAGGTCGCGACTGGATGCATGCGGCTTGAATGAAACGGCAGAAAGCGTTGCCAGCTAGCGCGCCTATGACCCTATGACCACCGGTTGGACTTTTGTGGGTTCCTTTCACCTGCGCTCGCCGACTGACCTTGACTTAGACCACGTTCAACACACATGGAGAACGGTATTTAGGTGAAACTATTTCTTGTCAAGTCACCGCTTCTAGAGATTGTACGGCTTTCTGAACGGAGTTCCGGCACGTTATTGCCAGAAGCACTTTCGTGGTAGGTAGCTATTACCTGGAGACTGCCGGCAAAGCCTCGGCAAAACCCTCCCCCCTCCCCCTTTACTAGCTACAGACCAGACAAAGCAGCGTGGAATTCTGAATACTATGTAGATACGCACCAGCCAATCTACCGTAAAGCTGGCAGTTGGAGATGGAATCTATATCTCAAACATAATTAGAGAGGTACCGAGACAGGCAATGCGGTGGCAGCGGTGCAATGCCATGCGTCCATTACGTGTCTAAGACAGTGGTCACAGGCCATTGGATTTGGGCCCAATACTAGCCGAAGACAACAATTATTTCGAGGTTACGATTGTGTGTCAGTCAATGTCGTCCGTCTACTAGTATATACACATAGTGATGTGGGACACCTCGACTCGCGTATTCTTTGGCGTTTCCTATCCGAGAGTGGCTGTTATCTGCAGCGAAATACTATCAACTTTGCCCCTATGGACGAACCTCCAAATGAAACACCCGATATAGTCCTTGCCACATTGAAACAGGCTCCGTGTAAGTAGTAGAGTCCCGCGCTTAAGGAGGCTCCTTCACGTTGGGTAGGTACTTAGACGGGATTGGCTTTCGGAATCCTCAGGGCACGGCGGGAATGCGCCGATGAATCCAGCTTCAAGTGCGGCGCTTAAGTAAGTGGTCGGCCCAGCACTGGGAGCATCATAACCGTGCTCGGAGCTATCGGGATTACCTCGGTAAGGTAATGTAGTGGGTAAGGACGAGGTCAAAGTCGTATATATCCATCACCCTTAGTATTGGCCTACCGTGCCAAGCCTGATGTATATTTGCAACCCGAACCTACGTACAAAGAAGTGCTGAATATGACTGAGAACTGCCTAGTAGGTACGGGGTAGACGTGTAACATATACTGACATAGGAGTACATAGGCCCAATAGTTGCTTGCTTGAAGATAATATGGGAGCGCAATTGTAATCATCTGAGAACCATTAAAGGGTGTTGGCATATATGGCAGTATTACTAGGTATTCGAGTACCCGGTGCATCGGTTTTTACTCACAAAGGGGGCTACATTCGTAGACGGATACTTACGCTAGGCATCTAACCCTGGCTGTTTACCTATCGTAAATGGGGATTCAAGAAGTGCTACTATGTACTAGGTAGAGGTAAAAAGCTAGCCTACCGCCTAGCGAGCAACCAGCTGCTTATCGTTCCAATAGCAAATGTACCTATTGAAGTTTGTTTCCAAGTGTCATCTAGATAGGACCTAGGTAATGATTGGGAGCATTCGATATGAGCACAAACATCATAAAGTATAGTACATGTAGGTGAAGTGCGGGATGAATTCCTGCCCGCCAGCACTAGCGAGTCACACAGCACTTCTTGTACCACTGAATACGAACTGTATGTATGTGCGCCACTGTTAGCCACCTTGGGCTGATGGAAATGCGAGTCATCGCTCGTTTTGACTGACGAAAAAGCAAGTGACTGCAACGGTTGGCTAGTCGGGATCCCAAATCGGGACGAACGACTCCCTAAGCCAGCCACATCCAGTGTGAATATACAACTGTCAGCCGGCTTGGACTCGGTGATATAAGTACATGCCGTTTTGTGAAGACAACGAAAAGGGAAAGGAGCAGATCTCGGGCAGTTGAAGAAGTCTTTATCCTGCAGTCGAGGCATTCTAGGCGTCTTTTTGAAATGTACAAGAAATGTGTAAGCTTCAGAGTACCTATGCAACGTATCTTGTTAGGTAGCGAGGGACGGCACGCTGGAGGAGCGTTACACCTGTATGCATGGCGAGACGCCACCGTTCGAAGGAAGTCGTTCCTTGTTCAATAAGATCCGGGGCTTATCTTCGGTCCCGCGGCCGTTGCCTTTGCTCTCGATCTGCTCATGCTGGGGGAACATGAGTGCAGGCACACGGCTTATGTATACCGGTACCATGTACGTTTGCTTGAGTACCTACGTAAGTAGGTATGTAGTCCTTTGAAAGGCCGCTGTGTTAACCCAAACCTTCGCGACTGGTGAAATATGTGGTCGCCCGGTTGATCAAGGTAGAAAAGTATGTTTGGTCTGCCTACTAATTCACTAATGAATTTCCGGGGCAGACGAGGACGCCTCGAGGTGCATGGAGATAGGTACCAGAGAATATGCCTGTGACACAACAATCAGAGGAGATGGCAAAGGGGTTTGGGCAGCTGAGACCATTTATGATCTTAGAGGCTTGTGGGTAGCCTAAGAACGGACTGAACTAAATGCAACTGCGCATCTACCAGAAAAACGAAACTCCGTGAATCTCATTGGCTCCTTGAGTAGTACTCCGATTCTAGATGGATGCTGCTCCTACACGGCAGCAGAAAACCGGCATCGCCATCTCTTGCTTTAATGATGGGGGAAGTGCTCGAGCCACTGTGTATCTTGGGCAGTATTGGGAAGTTGGTAGGCTAACAGGCTCCTCCAAAATGCTAAAAAGAGACTTACCGTGCTGACCGGCAGCCGGGTGGTGGAGTTCCCATCGCCCACGGTAAGCACTTAATATACGGCACTGTAGAGGAACTTCGCATCCTGGTGCAGGAACTACCCGTTGGGACTCCACTTCCGTCGCCAACTTTCTGACTTCCAGTAGAAGCGTTGGGGTCTTTGACTTGAAAATGACCAGTTGATTTAATAAAACAAAGGTACTTCCAAATAGGTATAATCCCTACCAAGATATAAATAGCTTTGCTTAAACTAATTCTACTTTATATAATAATTAAAAAACTTAAATATAGCTAAGAATTTAATTAGGCAACCACCTTTTAGCCCACTTACCCCACCTACTTCTACACCTTTAACACCTTTAACGCCTTTACCTTTAACTTCAACACCTTTAACACCTTTAATCTCTAACTTTTATACCTTCTTTTTAATTGTTAATATTATTTAAAGCAGTAAATATATTAACTATTAATTTAAAATTATTAACATCCTTTTTATTATAAATAGGTTAAATCTTAAAGGTTAAGTATAATGTTATAAGTCTTTTTAATCTTATAATAGGTATTTAATAAGATTAAAGCTTAAAGAAGGGAAGAATCTTCTTTAAAGTATATATAAAAAGGGTATATAATATATATAAAGTATATATATTTTAAGGGCTTTAAAATATTATAATATAATAATTATTCCTTTTTTTTTAATTAGGTTATTTTTAACCTAATATATAATTAATTTATAAATTAAATATAAAATAAAAAGTTTAATTATATAAGTATATAATGTTAAATATTATAATAAATATATTAATATAATTTATTTATATAAAGCATTATTATAATAAAGGTATATAAATATTAAGCTTATATTTATTTTATAAATTATATATATTATATATTACTTTTATAATAAAATTTATATATATATTCCTATTAATTATTTATTAATTTTTTTTCTTTTTTCCTTCTTTTTTCTTTAACTATTATTAATTTTAAAAATTAGTTTCAATTAATAACCTATTATTTTACTTTTATTTTTACTTTATTTCCCTTTATTTTTTTATTATATTTATATTATTATTATTATTATTTAAATTATACCTTTTAAAGGTAAAAAAGGTAAGGGTAAAGCTTAAGCTTTAAAAAGTAACTATATTATATATAGCGGTAAAGGTAAAGCATTATTATTATTATTACTATTTAAATATGATAAGGATATAGATGAAAAGCGCGCTAATAATAAAGTAACGCATCTCCCACTTGACCTGGCCACCCAATTGAGCTGGCCACCCCCTTAACTTATATAAAAATCCAATGTTTCAATCTGGAATAACTTAACCAGTATTGGTCCTACGATTTAATAAGTAGTACCATTAGATCCGTTATTTAAAGGGGAATCCAACGGTGTTTTTCACTATTTTTAAAGAAATTTATTAGGCGAGATATTAAGCAATACGCTAAAGTGGCGCTAAGTAAGGATTATTTTAGCGCTTACTTTAGCGTATTGCTTAATAACTCAACTAATATAAGTCGTATAAACTGATGACGGGTACCATTAAATAGCTCTCTTTATTATAAATCCAATGGTATACTTTATTATTCAATACGACCAATATTTGTAAAGTTATTAAATTATTACGTGATTAGTGCACCGACGTTTTTTGTATGGGCTAGGGGGGTGGCCAGCTCAATTGGGTGGCCAGGTCAAGTGGGAGATGCATTACCTATACTATTATTATTAATATTATTAATACTACCTTTACCGGGCAGCAATAATAATGATAATAATAACGGAAAGAGTAATTTAAGCTAAAGCTATAATGGATCTATTAACCCTTCGCTTAATAATTATTTAAGCTATAGGGGTAATTTAAATATTAAAGGTAAAAACTCCTAAAAAAAATATAAATAATTTATAAGGATTAAAAATTAACGCTATAAAAAGTATATAAATTTTATAGCTATATTATTAATATTAATATATTATAGGTATATTAAATATATTAAATATATATATTAATTTAACTTTAATTTATTTTTAAAACTTAATTATTTATTTAATAAATTTAACTTTATTAATTATTATAAATATATTAAAGTATATTAAATATATAAACCTATTAATATTTTTATATTTATATTATATATAAATTATTATTTATTTAAATTTAACTTTTACCTATAATAGCTTTTAAAATTATTTACCTTATTAAACTTTTTAAATAAAGTTAATAAGCATTTATACTTAAAATAACTATTAATAATATTTAAGCTATAAATAATAATAAAATAAAACTTTAATCCAGCTTATTTAAATTTTATATTAATATTATAATTATTTAATATTGCTTTATTAAATTATATTTATACTTTCTTTTAATTTATTAAAATTATTTTAATATAATTAATAATTAAATTAATAAAAAGGTATAAAGCTATTTTATATTTATTTTAAACTTATTATATATTATAATAATATTATATTTATATTTAAATAAAAGCATTTATTTAATTATAATTATATTATTATTAAACAATAATTTATTATTTATAATATAATTATACTTATTTTAATTAATATTAACGCATCTCTCACTTGACCTGGCCACCCAATTGACCTGACCACCCCCCTAGCCTATATAAATAACGTCGGTGCATTAATCACGTGATAATTTAATAACTTTACAAATACTAATCGTATAAAATAATAAAGTACACCATTAGATTCGTAATAAAAAGAGCTATTTAATGGCACCCTTTACTAACTTTTACGACTTATATCCGCGGAGCTATTAAGCAATACGCTAAAGTAAGCGCTAAATTAATTCTTGCTTAGCGCCCCTTTAACGTATTGCTTAATATCTTGCTTAATAAATTTTGTAAAAAATAGTAAAAAATACCTCTGGATTCCCCTTTTACTAACGGATTTAACGGTGTTAACCATCAAATCGTACGGTTAATATTTGTAAAGTTATTAAAGATTGAAATAATGGGGTTTTATATAGTTTAT